AAACCAATTTTCACCTAAAAAAAATAGGTTTCTTAATATCCAGTTATTTATTCCGTAGGAAAAGAGGGAAAGCTATCCTTTCAACACCATCAAACAGCCGCTTTTTTCCTCTTCTGGCAGGTATTATTCAGAAAGTCATACTTTTCAGGAATTTTATTAAATATGTCTTAGAGTCCTAGGAGCCAAGAAAAACTTTCTCTTCTCAAGCACTTTCTCCACTTCCTCCTGCGCATTCTTACCCGGCTGCCAGCTTCTTTGTGGCGGCCATTACAGACCGCCGCTGCACCGTCCTGGGAAAAGGGGGTTCTGCCGGCCGGGGAGGGGGTCTGCAACACCCCCACACCCTTCTCCGGATCCCCCCTACCTTCAGCTGCCCCTGCAGGGCAGCCTAGCTCCGTACCCTTCTGGGTCGGAGCCCCAGAAGCGGCTAGCGCGGCAGGGATCGCGCAGCTTCGCAAATCCCTGCCGCTCGCGAAGCCGACAAACCGGAAGTCTCCGTGGTGTGGTTTCAAGTTATAGCTGACCCCCAGAATTGCCTGGACAAAGCCTGCGGTTTTCTTTCTTCTTCTTTTTATAAAGTTTTTTTTTATTTTTTACACATCTCTTCAAGTGAGCAATGTGATTCCAGGTTACAACATTTAAACATAGTCATAATTGAATTTATTGCATCTAATTTCATATCAAATCATTATCTATTCCACTGATCTTTAAATAAGTTCTCACTTCATATTTCAATTCATTAATTCAATATCAAAAACATTTTATCCACTTATGTTTTCAATTCTTTATCCCCTGTTTCCATTTTCAGCTTACCACCTATTTTATTTTATATTATTCATTATTATCTTCATTAACTTTCTCAAAGCCGATATATAATAAACAGTCAAAAAAGAGTAAAAATAAAATAAAACTAATATATTCAGGATCCACATGGTATATCCCCCAGTCGACAATAAATCTTATATTTATTCCAGAGATATTCATATAACCATTTCATATTTTTCTTTGTTTCCACTTAGCCAAAGTTTACCTATAAAATTGTATTAAATTTTCATTCCCCTCCTTTTTAGTCATAGCATAATCTCATTACAAATACTTTCACATTCCAATATAATCCTTTTCTGATTTATCATATTCTATTTCCTCATATCCTTTATACGTATAATCAATTACATTTTATATTTCATGTCTAATATAATATGTACACACTAAAGAAAAAGAAAAAAAGAGAGAATTAAGGTTCCTTTTTTCCATTTAGCAAAGATTAACCTATAAAGTTTTATTTAATTTTCATCATACTTTTTGGTCATAATAGCATAATTTTTTCCAGTTTACCATATTCTCTGTTTTTCTAGTATCATTTAGATAATCAATTACATACATACACACACACACACACACACACACACACACACACACACACAGGATTTGATAACAATAAAGCCCTCTTAATTTCTCTCACTCTATCTTCATTTTTCTCATATATAATTATATAATAATCTTAAAGTAATCCCCAATAAGTTTTAAACTTCAAATCTCCCCAATCTATATTTCTAATAAAAAAAATACTAAAATACATTTCCATGTGGCATCCCCCCTTTATAATATATTTAACCCTTATCTCTAAATCTCTCGGCCTTATCATTTCCTGTAATTTTAGCCCAGCTTTCCTTTTTCTAAATTTTTCCAGTCTTCCCTCTTTACTCCTCTTTTTTCCTCTAGTATTATTTTTATTTTAATCTGACAATCACTTATTTTTCCCCACCCTTTCCTGTTCTCTCTTTTGGAATTTCTTCTTGTACAACTTCTTCCTTTGTTTAATCTTGGGAGTATTTTCCCTTTTATTTGTTACATCTATCATCGATGTCTTAGTTCCTTTTATGTCTTTTGGCAATGTCCCTTGTTCTCTGTGCTCTTCTAAGCTGCTTTCCTCTTCCTTTAACTCCTCCTTGAACGTTCTTTGTTCTTCTGCGAACTGCTTCGCCATTAATTTTTCTGCCAGTGTGTCCAATAATTCCATTCTTTCTTTTAACATTCCTCTCAGAGTTTGCAGTTGTGACTTGAATCCTTTGCCTGTTTCTTCCATTTTTTAATCAGTTGAGTCATTCTTTATTTTATTAAAAGTCAGAGTCTTTTATTTTAGTCCTTGCCAAAAATATCTGTTTGTATTAATTCCTCTTATTAATCCTTCTGTCTCCTTGTCACAATCAACACCAAACAGTCCCAAGGTATTATCTTCATTTGTCCTTTTGCTGCAATCACCCCCTTTTTTAGTGCTTCCGGGGTTCTTATAATATAGTCTTTTATTTCATTTCATTTCTCATTCACACATTTATAAGTCCAGTAATTTTCCATGAAATCATGAGGAAAAGTGCCTTTAATCATTAGATGGTGCTCTATATCACTTTCTACTTTTCAAAGTTCTTTTTTCTCTTTTCAATTGTATTAATGCTATTAGCTCTTTTAAATATAGTCAATTCCGGGCAAGTCCAGCATTCTATCCAATGCCTAATTAATGCCAGTTTCTGTATCTTATTTCAAATTTAGTCTCTAATTCCTTTGTAGCCCTTTTATAATCCGTTTTTTTATTTACCTTATATTTTCCTCTTATTTTCCATTAGCAGCTGTCATACTCTTAAACGAGGGCTCTTTCTTTCTGTTTCTTGGGGTTGTCAAAAAAAATCCAAGTTCTTTTGTCTGGTTACATGCTGCTCACCACTTCACCGCTGCAGCACACATTTAAGTCCTGGAAGCTTCCTGTCTTCAGGGCAGCCATTAACACTGCCGCTACCTCCTGTCTTCAAGGGGAGTATATCTAGCCAGGGAGGATGCGGCTCCCGTTGACCCAGCTGGTGGTCTCCCCCTCTTCCCCCACCCCTCTGAGGTGGGTCCGAAATGGATCCGGTCCCGTTACGACCTACAACAGGATAAGCATGGATCCAAGCCACGCATGATCACGGTCTTAGGTCCGTCTTCAAGGGCAGTGCCACCGGAAGTCAGCCCTGCGGTTTTCTTGATTATGTTTTTTTTTTTGGAAGTGGTTTACCTACTTCCTAGGACTAAGAATGAGTGAGTGGCCTAAGATCACCCAGCTATCTTTGTGTCTAAGGTGGGACTAGAACTAACAATTTACCTGTTTCTATTTTAAAGCCTTAAGTGAAACTTCATTGAAAAATAATATGCCCAATAGCTTGTCTTCTCTGAGATGAAAATATTGAAGACGTATGACAGTGTTCTTAAACTACATGAAAGAAGATAAAACTCTATTTCTTTTCCCAGTCCATGCATGGGCTCGGGAATTCTTTGGAGTTGTCCATATATCTTGCTGAGATTGAGAGAAAATTTGGATTAAAATATAGAAAGGGAGATACTGTAAGGCAAACTTGGTAATAGTAACTGTATTTGAAAACTGGAACTAATTACTCAGATAAGTAGTGAGAGGTGTTGAAACAGTGCTAGATAATCATATGCTGAAGACTTTTAAATTAGATTCCTACACTGAGCAGGGTGTCTAAGCAACCCTCTCAAATATATGATTATATGATTCATTACAAAAATTACTGGCTGTGACATATCGTCATCATTAAAAATTAGTTCATATCATAGTTCTGCTTCTTTCAGGACTGTAGGGTAGTCTTTTTTTTTTTTTAAAAAAAAAAGCAGATAAGGCTAAACAGAAACAAATATTTGAACATGACCCCAAAGCTTTGGGTGATGTTACAGTTGTAACAGCATTCTCCGTTTTTCCTTGTTAAGTCAGGTCAATATTTGGTGGAAAGTAGAACAAAACAATGTATGTGTTTATGCTGTAGCATTGCTTGATAGATACATTGCTACTGGGTGGACAAACAGTTCTGTCCATTTACAAAATGAAAAGGCTGGATACAAAATTAAATAAAGGGCTTTTATGCAGAGTAATGACAGAGGAACTGGCTTTGCCTACAGGAAAGTTCTAGGTATAAATTTCAATTAGGATACAACAAATCAGTTTCAATGTTTTTCAAACTTTCTGCAACTGTGAACTACTAAATAAGCATTTACAAAATACAAAGATCGTTCCATTTTACAGTCAGCTTTCTCTCTTTATTTTACTCTTTAACTGTGATAGTTTACATTTGGGAGCCAATTAAATGATTACGGTTGGATTCGTGCATGCTTTGTAATTCTGTTTTTAAAAGAATGAACTAAATCTTGAACCAAAATATTTATTGCATGTTTTTCTTTACCAGTTAAATCATTTTATGTAATTCATGCTACAACAAGAAGTCTTAGCACAAGTTTACTGGTCAAGGATGTTTTGATCCCTGAATACAAGATTAAAATCAAATCAATTTCCAGTCCAATGAAATCTTATATTTTAGTTATTCATAATCCCATTCACATTTTTCTTTTGGGGTTGTTGATTCTCTTCGTTCCGTTTTGCATAGGACACATGGGCTCACAGTAGAACATGAAGCTGTTCCATATTGTCTATTTTATAAATTTTAGTATACACATTCATACTTGTATGGCTGTCACTTGTATTATCAGTTTTCAGACACTGTTCTATTCTCATAAACCAGTTGACTGATGAAACATTTGGGAAAATGATGCTGAACATGAATGTGTAGAAGATGTGGTAGATTATTTGGCAATCTCAGGGGAGGGGATGTGAATCTATCACAATCTACCCTTAATCTATGGACTGTGAATGTTGTATGCTGCCAAGTCGCTGGGTGGGAGTTGGGCAATTTGTTTAAAAACGAACAGCCCAGGCCATGGTTTGAGCACTGCTGCCCTAGAGAGATGTTAATAGTTGGCATTCACAAACCTAAGTCAGATGAACTGATAAAATGGCATACTAGAAATCTATATATCCAAAATCTATATATCCAATCCATCTATATATCCAAAACCAGAAACTTATATTTTAATAGGCAGGAAGGATTCATAATGACAAAGAACAGAGGGAAAAAGAACCATTATTAAAGGCATTTTTGAAAATACACAGCGTCCCTTACCCGTATCGGTGCCTGCCCACATCTCTGATTAGTTTCTCTGACAGGTAAGCTCCAATGCGATCCAGCTTCTCTGGAGCAGAGAGGGCATAGAAGGTCAGCTTCTCCATGTTGGTTTTTACCAGCCCATCCTGAAAGAACATTTCCATGCTAAAAATTAAAAATTAAATTATTAAATATATTAATCCCCTAACCAGCACACATTGTCAGTGTTGCCTGGTTCGGCTTGGCGCCTCAAAGGCATCCTGCCATCAAAGGCTGGAAGGGTTGGGGAGGAAGGATGGAAGAGGAATAAAGCTATGTGCATAGATGATAGGAAATAGGGAGTGGGGAATGACAGGTGATAAAGACCAGAGCAGCCCAGATCCAATTTTTTAACAGCATCCCAAGGCCAGGCACCCTGAGAAAATATGCGGATTACCCCCATTCTCAAAACATTTTGGTTGGAAACGGACTGGTCACAGGGGGAGGTATGAGCTACGAGCGAACCTTTCTGTATCTTTTGAGCATGGGAAAATTCAGAGTTAGCCTGACTTTATTGCAACCAAAACCTTTTGTAAAAGAACCCCTTGCTTTAACCTAATGGAGTCGAGGGTCTTTCTTTCCTAAGGGATCAGATTGGGGCAGGTATATATTAATATATATATATATTAATAGTCCCACATGCAATTTATCCCTCATTTACCCTCAAAACAATCCCTTAGATCAGTTCAACAGAAGGAAAGACCAAAAGTCAACCAGCAAGTATGGCTGAGTATAGACTTGGGTTTGAATTAGTAGACCCATTAGTACCAATGAACAGCACGGCCAGCTGAATAAAGAGATAAAGACATAACTTCTCAGTAACCACAGCTTCTTCAAAGCAAAAAGAATTGGGTGTATAACTACTGTCCTCATGTGCACTTATACACCCTACAAGCTTTAAAAGAATAGCTCCTCTTTTTTTAAAAAAAAGGGATTTGGCAACTCCCTCAGATCTATTCTTTGTGTATTTCCTGCATTTTAATTGAGAACCAAAGATGGAATATGAAAATAGACAGAGAAATGTGAATATATTTATTTTGTTGTTTCCTTCTGTTTTGCTAATTTTAAGTTTGCAAGTTGTGTTTGTGTGTGTGTGTGCATGCATATATATGTGTATGTATATAGAACTTTGCATGGTCACATTAGATCTCTTATTCTAGAATCAGGTTAACTTTGATTCAATAAGCATATCCGCTTCTTGTATACTAGGTGGGGACACAATATAAAAGAGCCACCATTCCGAGAAATGTTTCCGTACACATGAAGTCATGCAGTCCCATTTGCTTTGGAACTTTTGCGTGAAAAGCTGAAGAAGGTAAGTAAAGAAAGACACAACAAAGGTACATGTTATATACATAACATATATAATTCATATGAAATATGAAAATATGGACAGAGAAAAGTTTTCCTCCCGCTACTGTGTTACAACCCACAGTCCTCTGATGAAACTGAATGCATGGAGACTTAAGGTGACTAACAGAAAGAATTACTCTTTTATACAACATTACACAAAATATACCAATACATAAGCTATTGCAGTCACTGTCATGGAATGGATAGCCATATAAATCATTTAAGTAAAATAGAATAGAATAAAATAAAAATAATTGCAGAATTATCTGCTGTCTGATTTGGTAATGGCCACTTGAATAAATAGTTTTAAAAATTGGACTAGACAAATTGGTGGAGCCCAGGGAGGTAAGAGAAGAAGAGGATTGATTTCATGGAGGTAAGATCCAGCAGCTTTAGTTTATTTGGACATGAAAAAAAGCTTGGATGTAGTTTCCTGGCAGTTCTCAAAGACTCAGAAAACCCAGTAGTTTTTTTTTTTAAAAAAAATACGAATTGATAATTGATATTTGTCAATTTTGAGATTGGGTTGATCCTTAACATTTTTGCATGTATTTGTATTTTTCTATTCTTGAATGGGTTACATAATGAAGTAAAATGCCCAGCAAATCACTTACTGAGATGGATGGTCATATAGATTGTATAAATAAATAAATAATTTTTAAAAACCGAAGAGGGGTTAATGGGGGCCATTACTAGAATATATAAACCACTAGAACTGAACATCTGTCTGTGCAGAAGGCTTTTAGTTAAGGTTCACTTACCTCTGGATCCTCTGGGAAGATATTGTCAACAAGTCTCTTGTAACGGGGCCGCAGTGCTCCACAACAGCCACACACACCTGAAACAGAAAGGAAATTAAATCCTCCACTTTACAAAGGACTAGTAGAAATGAGACCTAGATTTGTTTTCAATTAGTTATGCAGATCATTCTCCTTGCAATCATAAAACTACAGAACCTTAGAATTAGTAGGGACCATTTTGACCTTCAAGTCATGCCCTCATTCATTACTGAGATGCACATGAAAGCAAATTTAAATAGAAGAGAATATATGCCACTCAGGGTTGAACTGTGGGGTCCTTGGTACTTTCTGAGCTTGGTTGTTTGCTTGCAGAAGTTTTATAAATTAACTAGATAACATTCATCTGTATGACGTGAGCTTGGGGTTTCTGACATGACCTCACCCTGCCCCATGGCAGGAACGGGTTTCGAACGATTGTCAGCCCAGCCTTCTAACCTTGCAAGCCATCATGGCCCTTATGTAATAGACTATTACACAGATAAAGATTTATAATTAGATTCAATACTTTTCAAGTTGTTTACTTGAACGTTTGTTTATTCCAGCGAATATATTTTTCAGTCTGCCTTATATTCTTGCTGATGAAATCTCTGTCACAGTCCATTACTGCAACCTTTCCAACCTGATACCGTATGTATGGGTTGGACTACATCTACAAAAATCCCCAAACAGCAGGTACCAAGCTAGAAATGCTATGATTACACATTCTTCTCTGAAAATGCCAATTAAATGATAAGGAGCTGTGCAAGAAAACTATTGAGAGTAGATGACTTAGTTTTTAGCAGCATAAGCTACATACTTACTCAGAAATAAAGGTCTGGTGACTTCAGTGAGATATACTCCCAATGTAAAGATATAATTGATGGGAATCTAATTATTTATGGCTAGGCTCATACAATGTTCTAGTACACTTTTCTTTAATTGTGGTTTATTAACTGGGTTTATACAGCATATTGTCATAAACCATGGCTTACAAACCACTATAGCTGGATTCACAAAATAAGCAACAATATAACTTATATGCAACTCAGCAACTGATATGGTTAGTTTCATATATGTGTGTGTGTGTGATGTATATGTGTGTGTGTGTGTGTGTGTGTACACACACACACACACACATATATATAAAGAGAGAGAGAGAGAGATGTAGATAGGTTTTCTGGATATTGTAAGTGGTGGTGGTGGGAGGAACGAACATTTCAATGTGCAAAAGTATCTATTTTGTCATTCCATCCTAAACTGACGCAACATAACAATCTAAATGTACAGCATAACAAATCATAGTTTGACCTTATCACCCATTTATACAAAGCAGGGTTGATAGATTAATGTGTTCCTTGCTTCAAACAGATAATACAAATACTATAAACACTTGCAGTCTACAAAGAGGTACTTCATAGAACTCAATATATGTTCCCATTACATTTTTCTGCATCAAGGAGAGTAACAGAAGCTTCACCAGTCAAAAATCGAAAAATAACTGAGACAGAGTACAAGAAAAAAATGCTTCAGGGAGTTGCTTCATAGTCTTTGCTTATTTTATTAGGCTTTCCTTTTTTCTTCCTAATTGCAATTACATGCATTTTTTATATAAGACAGTCCAGAATGCTTCCAGGTACAATAATAAAAAGCTTGCCATCTTTCTTCTAAAGCAGCCCCTTTTCACAACATCAACATTAGCATCCTTTCTGTCTTTTCCTTAGGCAATGCTGGAACTTGGATGACATGGAGATGTTTGGGTTTCCCATCCATTGATAGGCTGAGATCCGAACCTCCACAATTCCTCAGGCAACATGTTCAGTGACCTCCATGACTGAAAATGTTGGGAGATGCTGTCTCTAAACATCTAGAAGACATAGGATTGGCTAATATTCCCTAACACTTCTGGAGAGCACCAGGTTGGCAAAGGTAACATTATAACACAGAGATAAAGAAAGCAGAAATATCCCCATTATGATTGTGAGAAAAATACTTTGTTCTACATTCTGCAAAAGGGCAAACGAGAGGCTAATGGAAAAAAGATCACTACAAAACAAACGACCCAGCAGATTACAGCACAAGATCCAGGATATCTCCACAACAAAACTCACAAGGCCATCACACAGCCCATTATACCAACATCAACTCCATCAACCAATCAAGAGGCAGCAGCGCAGCCAACCAGCCCAGCACACCAGCCCCCCCCCCCCACCAGTATATATAGAGAGACGGCAGCTTCGATCACACACTGCTTGCACTCGCACGAAGCCGAAAGCACCAGCCTGAGGATGGCGAGTAGGACCTCGCCGAAACGTCGCCAAGATATTCTTAACCTTACATGGGAAAAGACCCGAACACACCTAGACCTACATACATACATACATACATACATACATACATACATACACACATACATACACACACATACATACATACATACATACATACATACATACATACATATGTTCTGTCTCGCCTTTCCTCTTTCCCAAAAGATGAAAGAGTACAAACTCACACAAACACAGGCAGGCAGGCTGGCTTGGACTTCACAGAGTTAATTCTTTGGAATTGATAATATTCTTGGCATTCCAACACATCCTGCCTGCCAAGTCTGAACTGATAGTAAATAAAATTTTACTCAACAGAAAATCACCAGGCAGTCCACAAAGAAAATCTGAAGTAAGGTTAAACTTTGTCCCGTACAAAGTTTCAGGAGAAAACACACCCACTTTTATCCCCTGTGGGATGTGGCTCAATGACTCAGCTCACTCTCTGACCCTCCCATGCCTCCTACGTTGCTGCTCACGTTTCTCCCTACCCCTCCCTTCCCCCGAGTCTGACGGTCAGGATGTGGTCGCAAAGGGAAATGGTCATGGAACATCCGTATAAGGTCCGGGGCATGGATCGTGGAAGCATCCACCCAGGAGAGGGCCTCCGGCCCATCCCCCTGCCTCTCGATAAAATACTGGAACCGCCCTTTCAGCCAGCGGGAATCCCTAATGCTGGCCACCTTGCCTTCTAGTGCGCCATCTTCACCGGGCACAGGTGGTGTATCAACAGCTATGGGACATCGGAGATATGTTATATTTGCAACTGTCACAAGCTTCCTTGAATGTTGTATGGACAGAAAGGCAGAATACAAACTAAAGCAACAAAGAAACCATAGCAATAGCACTTAAACCTACATATCACTTCATAGTGCTTTACAGCACTCTCTAAGCGGTTTACAGAGTCAGCAAGTTGCCCCCCAATAATCTAGATCCTGATTTAATGACTTCGGAAGGATGGAAGGCTGTATCAACCTTGAGCTGGACAGATTCGAACTGATGGTAGTTGGAAGAATTAGCCTGCAATACTGCATTCTAGCCACTGTGCCACTACTTAAAACCATTTGTTCAGCTACTGTCTGAAATTACAAAATGGATTTATGACCCAGGTGCAAAGTTATGGCACTTGGCACTTTTGATCAAGTGATCAAAATCTTGGCAGCCTGCACACATTACGATTGTAGGGGGATTGCAACTTCTTACTATCTGCCTATTGCCTCCCCCCAATCTATTTATTTCTGGGGGGCCAACCCTGCACAACACTCATCAGCGAGCGGAAGTCTCAGCCAACTGCCATTGACTCCAGGGCTTAACTTCTCCAAATCATGCAATGAGACCAGTTGGATGCTAGCATGGAGAATGGCAGGAGCTTGTTCTTCCAATAGTTTAGAAGCCTCACGTGATTTCAAGAAGAAATGGTGGTGCAATTTGCCAAAGGAGGCTTCCAAAGTATCATGAGAATTGGATGATGGCATGGAATGGCCTTGGGAAGAAGGCCTGGCACAGCCAGGAACTGTCAATATATTCTACTCTTATTGTTTATCCTAGCTTTAATCCTTAGCAGATGTTTTCATTATTTTTAATATAGGGCAGTGTTGGAGAATCTTTTCAGCACCAAGTGCTAAAACAGAAGCACGCACATGTGCGCAGGGGAGACCACCAGGAACTGGAAGAGCAGCTCCCCAGCATGCGTATACATGCACTCCAGAAACAGGAAGACCAGCTGGGTGGCGCACATGCGCGCACTGGGAAGCTGAGCTTCCAGTTTTCGTTGCATGCATGAGCGCAGGCCACCTGCTCTTCTGGTTTCTGGCGCTCCTGCATGTGCAAAGACCAGCTGGCTGATGCACATGCGTGTGCCAGAAGCCAGAAGAGCAGTGGGCGACGGCTGGCGTGCCTGGAGAGATGGCTCTGCGTGCTACTTTTGGCACACATGCCATAGGTTCACAATCACGGATATAGGATATATATATTCTTTTTTCAAGCAATATAGTTTTTATGTAATAGTTACATAGCTACAGTTAATTTTTCAAAGAAGTGTTAATTGTAATATTTTGGAAGTGTAATAAACGTTGTACTGTTTAATAAACATCTTATTGTTTTGAATATTGCCCAGAGTCCTATGACAGGGCAGTATAAAACGGAGCAAGTTAATTATGTTTTCAGTGGTCATGCGAAGAAAGGTCATAGACAAGTAAAGCAAGAATTCATTACAAAGGCGTTGCTTTGTATTAAAAAGTAAAGAGTCAGCTATTTGTTTGGAGGCAGAAACCAAAGAGAATAGAAAGTAGAGATATGGCATCATTAAATAGATGACAAACTGGACAACTGTAGAACCCAAAGGTATAGGTACTCCTCAATGTACACCCGCAATTGGGTCAGTAATCTTGGTCATTGAGTGAAGAGGTTGTTAACCGAGACATCACATTGATTTCCTCACTCAACAACTGCAAATATGGCATTCTGGCATTAAAAGAGAACTGTGAGTCATTAAGTAGATGAGTTCCTGGTAAAGTATTACAGGAATGCGTCAGGGAGATGGGGGAGGCCCTAAGTGGCCTGGTGCAGGCTGCATGCAAGGTGGGAATGCTTCAGCTGGCTCAACCTAGCCCAGTAGTGTTTATGACTGCAGGGGTGCAGCAACCCTCCCACCCCTTCTACTCACCTCCCTCCCCACAATCCATGCCCTTTTGGTCACCCTGCACAACGACATTCAGTGATGTCAGCACAGGGCC